GTCTTCTTGGGCAGCAGCACGGCCTGGATGTTGGGCAGGACGCCGCCCTGCGCGATCGTCCCTTTGCCCAGCAGCTTGTTGAGCTCCTCGTCGTTGCGGATGGCCAGCTGCAGGTGGCGGGGGATGATGCGCGTCTTCTTGTTGTCCCGCGCCGCGTTGCCCGCCAGCTCCAGGATCTCGGCCGTCAGGTACTCCAGCACGGCCGCCAGGTAGACCGGGGCCCCGGCTCCGACCCGCTCAGCATAATTACCTTTCCGGAGCAAACGATGCACCCGGCCCACCGGGAATTGCAGCCCGGCCCGCGAGGAGCGCGACTTTGCCTTAGCCCGTGCCTTCCCGCCCTGCTTGCCGCGGCCCGACATCCTGCTGCAAGCTTTGCTGAGGATGACTTAATATAACAAAAAACGAAGTAGAATACACGTCGCGCCCCTCGTCCCGGTCTTATATTCCCTCTGTGCGGCAGCAGAAGCGATTGGTCATAGGCTGAGGCGTCGGTGCTTTTCAAATGAGCCAATGGGAAGACGGATCTAGCTGTGGCCAATGCCGGCGCTTGGAACGCAGGGACAAGGCGCCCTGTGCTGTTTCAGGAGTATTGGCTGTAGCGCCGCGTTGGTCTTAGGCCATGCGTAGACAAGGTTTCTTGGGTAAATCTTTTATTAGACCAACTCAAATAGATACAAAAGGTAGTAAGTACAGTGTAAATATGCTGTGGATATATCAGTATAGGGACATATGTTTGTGTGTTTAAAATCAGGAATTAGTGACAATGCTCAAGCAAAAAGAATATGCTGTTCGTTTTTAATTTTTTAAAGGATTATAAGTAAATATATTAGTAGGCTTTTTATGTTGTCATTCTTTTGTCGGTATGGGATACTTACTCAGCCAGGGACCTGAGTGGGGATCCGTATCCCGTTTCTTAAAAAGCAAAACTTTAAAAATGTTTTTTGCCGTGTTTTTGTCTTTTTTTGAAAAAATAAGGAAATAATGGAAATAACTAAATAATTAACTGAACCACTTTATATGGAATCAAAAAAGTAAATGATGTGACTGGTTAATATACACAGACCTAGTTCACTTTGTATATGCTAGGACACCTGTAAAAGTATCTCTTGTAGGGCTAAAGTGCCAAAAAATATAAGGTGAGGTTGGAGATGGAGTATGATCAAAAAAACCTTACTTGTCTGTTTTAAACTACGTGGGAGAGGTAAAAAACATTCAAAGCCTTTGAGGAGAAGTGGGGGAGAGACTGAACGAGTAGTCGGAGCTGACTCCTTTGTGTTCAGGGAGGGAATTCTACTTTCAAATTATCCAATGAGAGTGAACAACTTAATGTCGGCCAATCAGATGGAAAGGTTTAGCTATAAATAACCACAGATGAGCGGCGCGCCGGCATTGCAGTTTGTTGTGTTGCCAGAGAAACTTTGTTGGTTTTGAGAATGGCCCGCACGAAGCAGACTGCGCGCAAGTCGACCGGTGGCAAAGCGCCCCGCAAGCAGCTGGCCACCAAGGCGGCCCGCAAGAGCGCGGCCGCCCCGGGCGGCGTGAAGAAGCCGCACCGCTACCGGCCCGGCACCGTGGCGCTGCGCGAGATCCGGCGCTACCAGAAGTCGACGGAGCTGCTGATCCGCAAGCTGCCCTTCCAGCGCCTGGTGCGCGAGATCGCGCAGGACTTCAAGACGGACCTGCGCTTCCAGAGCTCGGCCGTGATGGCGCTGCAGGAGGCCAGCGAGGCCTATCTGGTGGGGCTCTTCGAGGACACCAACCTGTGCGCCATCCACGCCAAGCGCGTCACCATCATGCCCAAGGACATCCAGCTGGCCCGCCGCATCCGTGAAGGGCCTAGAGACTCTGGGAAGACTGCATTCATTCCATGTAACCGCCGAAAACCTAAGGCTCTTTTAAGAGCCACCACAGTCTCGATAAAATGAGCTGTTGTTTGCTTGACTGCCTTAAAGCGTTTAAAATTGAATGTGGGCTTTTGTATTTCACTGGGTCAAGTAAGTCCAGTGTGTACTATCGCACCACCGCCAGCCCCACTCTCAGCTACGCTTTGTAACAGGGAACGGGGGGAAAACAAACATCAATTGCCCAAACAATGCCCCAACCACATTTTTATAACTAAAGAATAAATAGAAGTCCCCAAGCAGTACCCAACAGCAATTTTAAGATACCGTGACAGCACAATTGATATTAGCAACTCTTTCTGTGAAAATGTGGGTGGCTCTGAAAAGAGCCTTTGTGCTCAAAGTAGCTGCTAGATGGGTTTTTTTCACCTCCGTTTAGCCGCCGAAGCCGTAGAGGGTGCGGCCCTGGCGCTTGAGCGCGTAGACCACGTCCATGGCAGTGACGGTCTTGCGCTTGGCGTGCTCCGTGTAGGTGACGGCGTCGCGGATCACGTTCTCTAGGAAGACCTTGAGCACCCCGCGGGTCTCCTCGTAGATGAGGCCGGAGATGCGCTTCACGCCGCCGCGCCGAGCCAGGCGACGGATGGCCGGCTTAGTGATGCCCTGGATGTTATCCCGCAGCACCTTCCTGTGGCGCTTAGCACCACCCTTCCCCAGCCCCTTGCCGCCTTTACCACGACCTGACATGCTCACAAAGTATCTACTTCCGTCTGTATATGGGGAGACTGGCCGAGAGCGCCGTATATATTGCCTAGAGCCCGACCTGATTGAGAACTGGAGAAAGTAAAAAAAGGCGCGAGACTGGCGCGTCTCCCCTCCCCCACCCTCGCTTGCCTTCTTGCCCTGTGAGCCTGCGGCGGCTCCGGCGCAGGAGCGCCGCGGCTTGCTGAGGCAGGGTGGGGTGGGGGTATGATCTCCTCTCCCAGCCGCAGCCGTTGTCGGAAGAACTGATCTCTGCTTTTGGAGAATTTTAAACCCGCTAGACAGCGCCGGCACCGCGCTCAGTGTCGATGTTCTTTTCCCGGCAGGGTAGACCTCTCCCCAAGATGCCCCGTGCTCTTGTTTTCCCTTCACATCGTTGTGATCCCACTTGTGGCAGACACTGCCCTGAGTTTTCGGCTCGGGGGACGGGACGGGGACACCCTGTTCTGTTTCAAAAAAGAAATTGCAGCAATATCTGGCCAACCGGCTTCACAGACACATCCCTCCTCCTCCCTCTCTTCTCTTTCTCCCATACCGCCCGCCCCTTTCTTCGCCGTCTTCTCCGCCATCTTGCAAACCTTAAACAAAGGAGGGCTTCCGGCAATCGGTGTGCTAGAGAATGCTCCGAAGCTAAATGCCGAGAGTAGCCTCACAACCGTTCTATTTTCCAAATCCCTGTAACATTTCCTGAGTCCATATCTAAGGGTGCAGAAGGCTTCCTCAGACACATATTGTTTCAGAAAACTGCCATGAAACAGCAGAAGACGCCTTGTCTCCGCGTTCCAAGCGCCGGCATTGGCCGGACCTAGATCCGTCTTCCCATTGGCTCATTTGAAAAGCACCGACGCCTCAGCCTATTAGCAATCGCTTCTGTTGCTGCACAGAGGGACTATAAGAGCGGGAGCGGGGAGTGTTCTTTTTTGTTGTGTGAGCTTAAGCTTGTAGCAGGATGTCCGGCCGCGGGAAGCAGGGCGGGAAGGTGCGGGCCAAGGCCAAGTCTCGCTCCTCGCGGGCTGGGCTGCAGTTCCCGGTGGGCCGCGTGCACCGCCTCCTGCGCAAGGGCCACTACGCGGAGCGGGTCGGAGCCGGGGCCCCGGTCTACCTGGCGGCCGTGCTGGAGTACCTGACGGCCGAGATCCTGGAGCTGGCTGGCAACGCGGCGCGGGACAACAAGAAGACGCGCATCATCCCCCGCCACCTGCAGCTGGCCATCCGCAACGACGAGGAGCTCAACAAGCTGCTGGGCAAAGGGACGATCGCGCAGGGCGGCGTCCTGCCCAACATCCAGGCCGTGCTGCTGCCCAAGAAGACCGAGAGCCACAAGGCCAAGGCCAAGTAAGCCCGGCGGCGGAGGAAAGCCAAAATTTGCCGCCTGAGGAAAAATCCCAAAGGCTCTTTTCAGAGCCACACACACAGTCGAGAAAGGGCGTGACTATCTCTAAGCGCCGGGGGGTGGGACTGTGCACAAACTGCTCGGGACCACGATGGCCGGGACGCGTTTATAAAACGCTTGGCTAGGGGGAGATTGGGGGCACCAGGAATGTTCGTTGCCCCGTGACTAACGCGTAGCAGCAGCAGGCTTTTGGGTAAAGATGACTTTAGGGTTCCTAGTGCTCAGTCATTTTCTTATCTCAAGCCTTAACCGTAGAACACCAGCTAAAGTGAACTATCCGCGCCTTCCCCAGAGTGCCGCGGAGGTTGGGGGGTGAGCGCAGAGCGCGGGCTTTTCGAATTTACCCGCCGTTCCCACCTTTCCCCAGGAGGCGGCAGAAGCTCCCGGTCTGGGGTCGGTTTCTTTGCTCCGCTCTCTAGTTCCTAGTTTGTGTCCGCATATGCATTTCATGTAACTCTTCAATGCACCACCTAACCCGTTTGCTTTCAGCGCGCTTGGTTTTCTTGACCGATGTACGTGAATGAAGGTCTCTAACGCCATAGGTAGCAGCTCTAAGAGTAAACAGGAAACGATGTTACACAGCAAAAAAGATTCCCACCTACAAAATGACAGCTGTTGTATGATTTTAAGAAGGCTGTTACAGCTCTTTTTAGGTGGAAGTGGTTGGCTCTTAGAAGAGCCTTTGGGTTGTTCACTTGTTTCACACCAGGCTTTAGCCACCGAAGCCGTAGAGCGTGCGGCCCTGGCGCTTGAGCGCGTAGACCACGTCCATGGCGGTGACGGTCTTGCGCTTGGCGTGCTCCGTGTAGGTGACGGCGTCACGGATCACGTTCTCTAGAAAAACCTTGAGCACCCCACGGGTCTCCTCGTAAATGAGGCCGGAGATGCGCTTCACGCCGCCGCGCCGAGCCAGGCGACGGATGGCCGGCTTGGTAATGCCCTGGATGTTATCCCGCAGCACCTTCCTGTGGCGCTTAGCACCACCTTTCCCCAACCCCTTGCCTCCTTTGCCACGACCCGACATGCTCGCAGAATATCTACGCCGTCCAGTGTGAAACAGCTAGCAGAACGCGCGGTATATATTGCCTGGAGTCCGACCTGATTGAGAACTGGCTCGGGCGAGGAGGGGGCGCGACCCTTCTCTGTCTGCCTGCCCTGTGACTGGGATGCGAGTCTCAAGCTGCCCGAGAGCTAAGACTGAGTTCGCCCGTTGCCTTGCAGCAATGCTGGGGCCGCCCCCAGCCCGGGGCTCCCGAGGGAGACGAGAACGGCGTCCAGCACCCCCGGCCCAGCGCTGCCCGGGACGCTCCAGACACGCGTGCCCCGTGTCCCCGGGCGCTGATTTGCCTCCCGGGGTACACTGCGGACGAAAGGGCCCAGGCCGGGACGTGGAGGGGGTGTTGTTTTCTGCGCGCCTCTGAATGGCAGGGTTTGCAGGCGGCGGCAGCTGCAGCTGATCCATCAGGTTTCTTTACGCGCCACCTGCTTCTTCTCCCCACTCCCCGTCAGCCGTTTCCTTTCCTAGTTAGTGGGTGGGTGCGTGGGTGGGTGATGTTTTTATTAATTAATATTTTTGCCACCTCCACTACTATAACATCTAATTACCATAACCTGATGAAGGCCTCATAATAATAGGTACTAAGAAAATAGCAAAAGACAAATCAAGTTGTAAACCTTTCTAAAATAAAGTCTTATGCAATACTGAGATTAGAGCTGGGGGGAGATGATGAAAAAATGATACTTCCTATTTTTTCAAGTATGTGTCTGTGTATGTAGTACATATCACTTATAAGAACAAAAGGTTATAAGACTACCATATTAGTTCTGGTCAGTGGTCCATCTTGTGTAGTATCCTGTCTCCAACAAAGCAGTAGTAGATTCTTTAGAAAAAGCATACAAGTGGACCATACTGAGGGTAACCCATCCCCTGTCATACTTACCCTGTCATCTGCCATCATTGGCTTAGAAATGTCAAAGTTTTACCTTCCTGGCTTCTGGTTAATGGCTATTATGTAATCTATCATCCATGAAGTTGTCTAGTCTGTTTTTGAACTTAGCAATACTATCTATTTCTATACATCTAGTGGAAGCAAATTTTGCTTCTATACTTCCAGTGGAAGCGAATTTTACAAGTTAACCATGCCACTGTGTGGAAAAAGAAAAAAAAGTTCCTTTCCTTTCTACCCTCCCCTGTCTTCTGAAGCCATAGCCATAGGCAAGTATGGGGAGGTGTCAGGAATTGGACTGATTGTACCTTGTGCATGAGAGAAGTACAGAGCTGTCCCTAAAGCTAATGAAACCAGCAAGTATACCATCTATGATCAAGTGCTTTACTTGATTCATATTTACCTTCATTTTTGCCCTTTTTCTCCCAGGACTGCTAAAATGTGCAAAGAACAGTGCCAGTGATTGCAAGCACTTCACTATCAAAACACTTAAGAACACACATTTATCTACCCTTGGACCTAGTAGTATTGTAGCCAAATCAATTTGAACTGTTCTGTTTTCTCTGAAAAAAATCCTTCCTTGTGGACTCCTTGGTCGTGTCCAGATGAATGTGGCCGTGTGGTATGTGGTGCCACAGACGACTGTGGCACCACATAACCACAGATTCAGCTGTTTTCTGCACTGCAAGGGAGAAGTGCAGAGGAGAGGGGATATCCAGGGGTCAAAAAAACCCACACACAAAAAAAAGCAGAGCGATGCATGCGGGGACAGTGTGTGCTGCTCAAAACCAGAGCCTGGCTGGCTGGAGCCATACTCCAGCTGCCAGCCAGGCTCCAAGCAGCAGGATGGCTGCTACTGCAACACCAGGAGGCCCCTAGGGCTGCAGGTAAGGCTGCTGGGGCCAGCCCAGTGCCTGTCCTCCCCACCCAGGGTAACCTGCTGCATGCCAGAGGGTTCATGGCACAGGCATTCCCCAGGGACAACTACCAGGGGCACAAGGTGTGCCCCGTTAGTTGTCCCTGGGGAACCAAATGCCCGTGCTCATCTGGATGTGGCCCTTCTATTTATCACTGTATGCCATACAGCCTAAAATTACATCTTTGCTAAGTTATCCTTCCTTCTGGCTTCCTACTGGAAGACCTTGGGGAAATACATTTAGCATATATGTTCCCTATGGGTAGTTCCTTGTACAGGGGAACAGACTTAAAGCTGGGTACATATGAAACTCAACTTAGTTCAACTTAACTTTCCTTGGTGAAACCCTGGATCCTTCCATTCCAAAACATGAAACAACCATTCCACCTGTCTATGTGCTGGTATGATTTGTAATGTGCATTCCAGGGTGAGAAGTGTATAGCACCCCCTGCACACTGAGGAACCAAAAAATGACCTCTTCCCCACCCTCTGTGGTATCAAAGCAAAGTAGGCTGCTCATCATCAGAGAAGGCATTACAGCAGGGGTTGGCACACATACCAGAGCATGACAAGCCAAGCCATTTTTCTCCTTATGCTATAGCTAGCCAAGGCTCTGGGCAGCTGCTGCCAGCCATGAAGCTGCCAGGAGGCTGCAAGCCCTATTGCAAGCAGCCCAGGCTCTGTGGATGACAGAAGCTACCCAGAGCCCTGGCCAGCTACAGCCTGGAGGCTGCAAACAGCTACACTGGGTTCTGGAGCCCTGGCTGGGGTCTGTGGTGCCCATGGGTACAATCACACACCTCCGGTCAGATGGCAGGGCAGGGGCAGCATACCCCCGGCCCCTCCACCACTGTCCACTCTGAGGCATGCGTGTAGCTGCCACCAGCAATGAGAGGATCAGGTTCCTTGAGCCTCTCACGCAGGCTGCCCCTGGTAAACCAAGTCACAGTGTAAGTCAGGGTTGAGGTGTTTTTGGCACTCTGGTGAAAAACATTGCCAACCGCAGCATTTCCAACAGGTCACCTTCCTTAGGTGCTTCCTTAGGTGCTGGGAATTAGGCTGGATCATCATGGGCATGTCTACACATGCAATTAATGTACATGAATAAACTCTGGGGTTTATTGTCCTGTAGTTTATTGTTCCCAGGTCCCATATGTCCATGTGCATCCAGGACCATAGCACATTCAGCTTGGTTGGAGTAGTCGTGGCTGGCAGGGGTCCCAGGGGTCAGCCTGCTAGCCTGGGGTTGCTCCACTCAGCTCAATGTGCTGTGGAGGGGCATGATGGTGCCAGGGCACGTACAGGAGGGTGACACAGTGTGGACGCTGCCTGCTGGCTAGCCCTGCACTGAAGCACCCTCATGCCTCAGCCAGCCACATCTACATGTGCACCGCTGAGTAAAAACTCTGCAGCAGGATAGTGCTTGTATTTAAAAGTACTATTCTGCTGCAGAGTTAATTAGTTTACTCCAGCTTGTTAGGGGTACACCTGTAGACATACAATGTTTACTGTGCAGCTAATTAGGCTACTGCACAGTAAGCGTCTTATGTAGGTGTGCCCATGGTGTCCCAAAGCCTGGTAAAGGTCTTCTATATGGGATCCCAGAAACTATGTGTAATGACTAATGAATAGGTGGTCCAGCCCAATGGTTAGGTGCAGGCTGCAGATGTGCTCTGTATTGAAAAGTCGCAGTGGCAGGTACAGATTGGAAAATTGCTATAAACCTAAGTTATGGATAATAGGTACTTAAGTTTGCATAAAGTGCTCTATATATAATCAATAAGTAGTAGGCTGAGAAAGTAAAATTAAATCAAAGCCGCCCGTACAGGACTTGGGCTAACCTGCAGGAATATGGCTAAAGAAAGAGATTCAAAAGCTACTGTCTGAATTGCAGAGTAATCTTTTGCAGTCATTCCAACTTGCTTGGCCAGGAAGATGAAGAATTCAATCAACATGTCAAACTAAACCTGTGGTGAGACCAAAATAAAGAAAAAAACCCCATCTGAAATAAATATTATATAAGAAGGCCTCACAACAGATAATCCAAATATAATATATCACAGTCCCAGCTTAATTTTTTTTGCAGTAGCAACATATGTAATTACATGTATTAAAAGTAATTTTGTTATAATAAACATGTATTTTTGTGAAGTTTCTGAGGAATTGTATAAACAAAGCAATCTTGTCAGTGAGGGCCATAAAAATTAAAGTTAAAAGAACTTGACAATGACAAATAGCAATCCAAGATAGTGAAGGAAGGAGATTAAAGAATGCCCCTTCTAAAACTGCAGTTTTTGCAAGGTCATAAATTGTAGCTCTTTGACACTTTCCAAGTTCGTATGCAAAATGAGTTTATATAGTTCCCAAATGCTCAGTGAAGCAAACAGATTTGAATAAAACCAATCATAGTGTGTTTATTAAAATAATCCATATATAAAAAATTGAGTGTAGAATGGGGGAGGAGAGCGGGGGGCAGAGGGGAGAGGGACTAGGAAACTGGAGAACCCAGAAATTTAAAAATGATGTGCTGTCAGTCTGTATACCATCCTGCACCTTCCCACCTAGTTCAGGTAAAAATCTGTATTATGCTTTTGTGGGTAGATACTCTGATAAATGTTTACTTTTGTGCTTTGGCATATAAACAGCAAATGCCTGATCTATAAAACCTGTATTTTGCTTCTTTTCTCAGTACCCAAGTTACAAGTACCCCAAGTGGTAAAGTCCTGTGTGGTACAAGTTTGCTTGTATCTATTCCCTTTTTGTGGTGAATTATACTTTGGGTGATCGTATGTCCCTGTTTAGCCGGGACAGTCCTGGATTTCAAGGACTGGTCCTCGCCAGCTGTTGAGAATCATAATGGATATGCGGGAAACACGTCCTATTCCCATGGTCCGGCCAGGAGTTGGAGTGGTATGGCCTGTCTTACAGGGAGGCATGCAAGCATCGCTGCCTTCCTGGCATGCAGCAGCCCCGCTGACTCTTGGGATCCTCTCTAATTTAAATGCCTGCAGCATCTCTTGCATTCAGCACCCCTCACTTCAAAATGGCAGCAGGGGCGCTTTTAACTAATGGAAGCAGATAGAATTGAGTCTGCTCCGAAACATTTTAATTAGAACAGTTCAGAGCAGGCACTGGACATGTGTATAGGTCCCCCGTCAATCTAATCATAAGTAAGGC